ATCCAATACATCGCATAATACAAATCATTTAGTTAGGTTTCTTCGGGTTTCAAATGAACAGAAAAAATAACAAATTGCTTAACATGAAATAAATGGACTGAGCTGTGCCAGCTTTGACAGGCGATTTTTGACTTTTTTAGGTAGTTACTTGGTATTAATACTAGCCGTGTAAATAATAGTCTTTTTCTAAAAGAAATAATAAATTATGATTCACAAGGATAGCGCGCATATGAGTTGGTAGATGCGATTAGGGTTGTGTGTCCTGAAAGCCTTCAGATCTCCCCATGATCTGTCCTTGATATTATAGGGTTATTCAAGTGGATGTGTCCATGGTGCGTCATATGATATAGCCATATCAAGAAAAGYAGGTCACTTATTTCCAATATATCTATAGTTTCACCGCGTTTGCATATAATAGCGGGTATCTCTACCATACCATTACCCGGAGCGTACATAGTGTGTCTTGCAGAAATTTCTCTTGCAACGACAAGAAAATTATAGGACCAAGCATTAGATTATAGGACTAAGCTTTAGAATACCCTGTCACTTTATAGTTATTGAAATTCACTGTCACCGCGTTCTGCGGTCACGTATAGTGCCTGCAATGATTTCTGGGACAAACACAGTGAGCCTGATTCATAAATGCTCTTAAATCACCACTGACATCGCCCGGTCCCTACTCCCATAGTTCCTGTATTCATTTACCCAGCAGTCATAACGATCACTCCGGAACGCGGTGGTGACWGTGATTCGAAGGACTTTTTCCTTCTTTAAAAGGGACATTTCATTGGACAGGGTTTTTTGTACTTTCAGAGTGACGGGGTATTCWAAAGTCCCCAATAGTCCCTGGCCGATGTAACCTAGTACAGGAGACCTGAATAAAAAATGCAAGAAAAGTTGCTGGAGGGGCACGTAGCACAATGTACAATATAGCATTGCAATTTGATGTAATGTGTCGGGTTGCGCGCAATAAAAACAGTTGCGAAGCGATCACTGTTTTAGCCCTCCATGCGCAATTGTTAAGCGACTTGTTGCAACGGCGAGGCAAGCTGCTGCTGAGAATATTAGTGTGTAACAGCACATTAAAAAGTGACCTCAATAGTCAAGATCGCGATACGCTAGAGTGCAATAAAGTATCATCCCGTCTCGGCGAGTCTTTTCACGTTGATATCAGTAGTTGGTCAGCAGGTGGAGGTGGGTGATGACGTATTAGCAGCAGTTTGTTTGATCACGAGTTGTGAATAGCCCAACACTTGAGATACAATCTAAAAAGCTTTTCAATTTCAAGTAGTTACGCTAGATAATGGAAGGAAACCCTCAAGCTACAAACACAGTGTGCTTCTTGTACGTCATCCATATTTTAATCTGTTTTAATAAAACAGATTTAGAAACGACTCCTCTAAACAATAACAATGAATTTAGATCGATTTTTAATCATGGAAATTACCAGAAATAGACTGAGGTCACTGAGTTATATTCCGCGCTTTTGTCTTTAATCGTTAATAGACTTAATACTTCAAACTATCTCACTATCAAACGGCTGATTTGCGGTGATGGTGTTTTATTCCCAGCCTGGCGCCTAAGTGACTAAGTGAATGGGCTTCGCGCGAGATACAGTACGGGCAGTCAGGATAAGCGACTATACCGCAACTATCAGGAGAGTCAACGAGTCAATCAGATGATCGTTGAACTTGGACGTTGCCCCGTCTTGTCAGGTCATGAGTTTAGACTACATCCCCGGCGCACTGGATTATGTCCTCACTCATGTCTACTATTTTTGTAAATATTAGGGGTGGTTTTGAAAATTTCAATCATGCTTTCCATGACACTTTTTGTGTTGCTCTTCAATGAAGTAGAATGTAATTTGGAGGCAATAAAGAAACGTTAAGCCGATTTTGTAGAATCATTTGTAATAATTTATGGAATTTTGGTCTTCCTGTGTCGTTTCACAGTTTGCGGTCTTCCTGTGCTATTACATACAGACAAAGCCTGGTTCTAGTGACTTTTGAACAAGGAGGCGGTACAAAAAGATTGACAAGGATTAATTTTAAGGAATTTCTACTAAATTTATCGGATATGAGCAGTATAACYGATAGGCTAATGAATCAAGACGAGCATCCTAGTTATTATTCTACTAACAGTGATCAAATTAGCACTCAATTTCACTCGTATCAGCATAAAACAACAAGTACGATGGTAGACATTCTTCCAAAATCACCAACTGCAAGCTTTGAGCCTGAGTTTCAATTCTTAAATACTAGCACTAGAAACAGATTGGTAGATAAGAATGGAGACTTGCGAGTTAAATCAATGAAAGTACCTCAAAGAACAAAGCTATATTTAGCTGATTTATTTACTACGGCTGTTGATTTGCGATGGAAGTGGGTGACATTCATATTTTGTATGTCTTATATATTTTCCTGGATTTTCTTTGGGACTTTGTGGTGGTTCATGGTGCTGACAAGAGGAGAAGGATTCTGTGTTTCCGGGGTATGTACATTTTAATGTGATTTACAAATCAAGTAGCACTCTTTATAAGCTAACAATTGTCCTAAAACCTTTGAATTCAAAGCTGTGTAACTTAATTGAATACATTGAGTTACTTAATAATTGATTGACTAAAGTAGTTTTGCATATAAAAGTAAAATGATAGATAAGCAAAGTGATCAAGATTACAAGGATAATGAAATATTTATACAGTGCTCTCAACTATCTTCARTACATGCTTTGAAACCATGATATATAATCTTTGTCATTTGTTATTTGTTCCCAAAAGATCAATTAGTGTTAATCCAGGGTTTTAGCTCCAAAGTCCTGAGGATTGAGCTTGGGCAACCCATCCCTGTTAGACCTTGCTTTGGCAGTTTTTATGTCATCGATTAAAATAGCAATAGTCACTGATTACGTGTATATTATAGATGTTGAACCAGTTATTCTTACTAATAGTAACGATAACAGTGAAGTTGTCCTACCACAGTAGCGTTGTACTGCCACAGTAGCATATGGTCTATTTCTCAGTAATGATAATCTTTATCAGCGATGGATAAAGATGCATTCCAAAGTTGCAATTMAAATCTATACATGTAAATGACTAGTATTCCACAGTATAACATCAAATATTTGAAGAAAAGTCTGTCCATGAAGTGTTCTTATGACTAGTAAGAATTCTATATTTACACTAGGTATATCATTTACTGCAGAGACTATATCTTTTCTTAATTTCACAGTAAAGCAGTCTTTGAAAGCTATTGAGCAGGGTTGGGCATTTCATGTTGATAACCAAACCATTGGCAGCAACTCTGAGCCACAATGAATAACATTGCATCATTAGATAAAAGGAACGTTCATTCTTTTTTCAGATGAATGACTGGACCACAGCATTCCTGTTCTCTATTGAGACACAACAAACTATAGGATACGGATCTCGTGCAATAAGCCCCAAGTGTTTTGAAGGTATCATTGTATTACAAATCCAGTCTCTGATAGGAGTACTTCTGGATGCATTTCTACTAGGACTTACATTTGCTAAGATTTCTCGCCCTAGAGAAAGAGCAAGGACTGTAAAGTTTTCCCAGCATGCAACAATAGCATTACGTGACAACAAAATGTGCTTAATGTTTAGAGTTGGAGACATTAGAAAAAGTCAAATTGTCGAAGCTCACATACGAGCACAGCTATTTAGAAAACTCAAGACAACTGAGGGACATGAGCTTCCATTTTATCAGCAAGACCTGCGTATATGTTATGACTGGAGATATTGTGACTATGATGACAATAGATACCAGGTTTTTCTCATGTTACCTTTAGTAATAATTCATATTATTGATGAAAATAGTCCACTGTTTCACATCACACCAGAGAAACTTCAGCAAGAGGAGTTTGAGATTGTTGTTGTACTGGATGGCATGGTTGAGGCTACTGGACTTAATACACAGCCAAAGTCATCATACTTGAACAATGAGATTTTGTGGGGCTATGATTTTGAGAATGTGCTGGAGGAGAACCAGCATAGCAAAGGTTTTTACTGGGTGGATTTCTCTAAACTTGACAGARTAAAGAAAGTTGCAATGCCATCATGTTCACCAAAGGAACATTACCAACAACTGAAACTCAGATCCAACAGTAGTGTGAACTCAGGATTCAATGATCATAGTACTTTACCTGGGGAATATATCTGATAAATGGACAAAACATAATCCTTTTCAGACAAAAAGATCATATTTTTACTGCTTTTACAAAATGGTATTATTTATAGACATAATTTCTTACTAGAGTGATTTTCATTAACCCGTGAAACAAAGTGTAATAGTCAAAGTGTAATAAAGTGTAATAGCCAAGAAATATAATAGAAAACAAAAGAGACAAAGTGTAATAAAGTGTAATACGCTAAAGTGTATTTCACGGGTTAATGAGAACCACTCTAGTAATATCATGTATATTTCAGAATTTTATAAGCAAAATGTGATTTTTAAAAGATTATTGATGTGTATTGTTTATAAAAAAAAATATTATTTAATCATAGTTTATCATTAGTGTACTTTAGTGAAAAGGAACACATTAAAATGGCTGGTGTACAGCCAAACTGCTGTTAACAACATCATGCAGCAGCTGCATTATAAAAGACAGAAGAAAGTGATTGTCCAAAGTGATCCGCATTGTTACATGAATTTCTTTTCACTTAAGTACAAGTGTTTTATTTCTCTCTGACATGTTTGCAAATTTATTGTACACACAGAATAGTAATATTGGCAGATCATCATACTTTGTTTCTGATTTTAATCCAGAATTTTTCTTATTCTTAAATTGCATCTATATGAGGCAAAGCTTACCATTGGAGCAAATTTTCTTACAAATTTTGCAGCCCACTTATTATCGCAGCAAAATTATGATAGCAGTTTTAATGCTATATGACCATTTGTTAGCATAGAAGTAGTTTGGTTTGGTGGGCTGCAAAGGCCATCAGATGCTACAATAAATTTGAATAAATATAGTCCTATTTGTATAGCAAGATATTTTAATGTGGAATTCCCTAAGACAGAAGATCTTACAAGAATTTATTTTACCTCATCGCAAATACGTTTATATTAGAAATTGATGAAAAACAATATTTTATCAGAGTACATATTACACAATTGTAAAAATTGCTTTAATTTTTTAAAACTG